GGCTTTTATTTTGCATGTAGAACCATTGAGGTGGGGTCTTGCCTGTGGCAACTCTAGGGATTACACTGTAGTTATGAGAGCTCCAGACACTAGCTGGGAAGTGAGGTGACAGAAACAATGATTTGGAGGAATCACCTGATTCCAAAGCTGTGGGTTTCAGCAGGGTTCCTGGTGGCATCCTTGAGCCATCTCCATGACAGCAGGGACAGGGTCTAATTGACTGGTGGCTCCATGGATCTCCAGCCCATCCCTACTTTCCCAGGCCATTCCTGCAGGACCTGCCAGCAAGCTTCATGTTGCTGCCCATCTCTTCCTCATTTCTAAGGACCTGAATGTACTTGGCTGGGTGCTGTGATAAGCAAGGGGTACCAGCCATGATACATCCAGTGAAGAACCCCACCAAGAGGTCAGCTATGAAAATATCCTCAGTGTCCCCAGAGTGATGAGACTTTTTGATGCAACAAACATTTGACTAGGCCAGCTTACATTCTTGCAGAGACTTGGTCCCAGTGCTAATTTCATTTACTTGGAGCAGGGGGCCATTATAGGAGTTCTCATTCACAGCCTTGGCAATCCATTTAGGCTTAGTTACTCTGAGATCATCCTAAAACACCTGGATTCCTGCAATAGCTGTGCACTTCTGCTGAGCTTCCTAGATACCCTCTTCAAAGGGGTTTTCAATGGACACCACTAGATATATATGGATGAAGACTTACACAGTTCAGCCAACTGTTTATGCCTGATGCACTTGTTGGAATAAGAGCCTTGAAGTCCAGGTCACATTTGCTATACCTGAGGAACACAAAGGCAGTCATGTCCATACTGATAAAAACTCTGGTCAGTGTAGCCTGCCTTTGCAATTTTGACCTTCAGCAGCTACAAGGCTTCTCTATTCTCCAGGATATTAGGAAGAAACCCGTTCTCATCACTCATATTGGTGACTTCCTCCCCTTATTTCTTCTTGGTGACATTCTTAAGGTTATGGTACGGCTCTTTTCTAGTACACATGGCTTCACCTAAACTGAATGCCCTAGGTGTAGGAATCATGAACTCCTGCATGGCTAACTTGTTGCCAGCATGAATACCAGTGTTAATCACGTTGAAAGCTGGGACTTGCAATATGACTCCAAGATTGCCAGTGAAGTCAGCAATGTCAAGGTACAGGGACACTATCATTTCCATGGCACCAGATTTTGAAACATCCAGGGACACTTCCTTCATGGCATTTGCACCAAATTTAGATGATCAGTTTTTCCATCTATTTTTGTTCCACAACATTTAGTTTCTTTCTTCCCAGAGCAGGTGCCATAGTCTTATCTATGTGCTGATCTGCCTTGACCCTTTCCCCAGCAGCACATGTAGTCATTGTCACAAAGTTCCAGGGCCTTATATGCGTCAGTGGAGACACTGCTGGACACAGCAGGTTGTAAGACAGCTTTGATATGCAGCGATGAACCTCAACAGTGGGATTCCCTGAGAGTCAATGATCTCTCTGGCACGAATCTTGAGAATAGACATGGTTAATTTATGGCCTGTGGATTGCTACACAGGAAAGAAACAGATTTCTGCCAACATGGAAGAGATCATACAGTAGAATTTAATAACAACAACAACAATAATAATAATAATAATAACGAATTACAAAAGGGATTCAAATCCTAAATAAAACAGGAAATTAATAATTTATGATGTCAACAAAAACCTGATAGCTAACCTCTGGAGAACATTCAACATCTCTCCTGCTTCCTCTATTAACACCAGGATTTCCTTAGAGATTGAAATATTGTGCACTAGTGTGAGTAATCACGAGCTCTGTGTATTGCTCTAAGTTTATGTAAGAATAATTAGCTAGCCCGTATCTGTAGGTCATCAGCTTGTTCTCTGTACTCCAGGACTATATAACCCTGTATGCTCTTCTTGCAGTGCTCTGCATTAGAAATCTCTTCTATAAAATTCAGTCAGGATTCAAGAGTGACCTTGAAACTTCAGCAGTGAACAATCAGGGAAAGGGGCATTTGGGCTCATCATATTCACAGACCTTCATCATGGCCACACTGTCCCACAGTTTATTCATGTAAGTTGTGAGTGCTTTGAGGATGAATAAGAGACTTGAATAATTGTTTTTTCCTAATCATATGATACTTTAGGCAGCATGATGGTCTAATAACTGTAATAAAAAATTGAGCCCCTCTACAGGGATTTTACTTTTTTGTTTACAATGACAGTTCTCAAATTCTCATTGGCCCATCCATAAAGTCTCTTCTTCATATTCCTATGACCAAATAGAGCAGAAAATATGCACAATTATGTTATTTCATGATCAACATAAACTACTGTACTATGCTGGACAAAATGATTCATTAACAATACTTTTGAAGTAAACTACGGTGTGTGTGTGAGACTAATGTCCTCCATGGTTGGAAGATCTGAGCTCTGTATTGTATGTGTCTTAATTCATCTAAATAGTTCTTCCAAATTCCAAAATTATAAGCTTCTGCATAATTATTAATTTATGCAAGGTGAAAGACAAAGACAGTGGTCAGGAACAAAGGAGTGAAATCTTGTATGAATTACTTTGGTTGATAAAAACACAAAATGATCTATTCAGTAAACAGACATTTCATAATTATTTATTCTAAGAGAAAAAAACATTGGTCCATCACTTCTGTCCCTCATGGGTTCTGTATGCTTTATAATGGGGTTTTGACTTCTGCTGTGTGAACTCTGGGTATTATATCTCAGGTGTATTTTTAACAGTTTGAGAACATTGAAACAATGATTCATCTCAGGCTTTTCTGGTTCCTTTGGTTCATATTATTTCCTTTGTACTTTGAAATATGGTCTCATTATGTTCCTTGAAGGTATTTCAGTGAGCCTGCACTCATTTGGCCTCACTCTCTGAGTCCTGGGCTTATTGACTTACAAAGGATGAACTCTATTTTTCTTAATTATCCTCCATCATTCTGAGGGTCAGCCACTAAGATGTTAATGAGGAAATAATGCCTGGTCCCTATATCATCTATAGTTTGAAAACATGAGACCTTAAAAAGTCACATGTTATAAAGACCTCTGAAAATCTTCTTAAAACTATATGATTAGTAGTCCATGAAAATATACATATAGGCTTGAAATAATGATTGGCACAAAAGCTATGAATGTGAAATTGAGTGTAATGAGTTATATAGGTTGTTTTGAGGAGGTGAAATGGAAGGAAGTTTCTTACTATATTATTATCTGAAATATAAAAATGAGCAAATAAAAAGCAAAAAGACACCAAACCAAATCACTCTGGAATGAAAGAATGACACATTTGTTTTGAATTATTTTGTCTCTGCTATTTATTTATGTGAATTAGGACATATTATTAGGAATTCTGAGACACCTTGACTGTTATATGGTCAAGTTTTAGTAAGTATTATTTCTATGAACGTTCTTCCTTATTTAAATAATTTTTGTATATTGATATAACTTACTACCTCTAACTTTCAGTTTTTGGTTTCATAGGTCCTAAAGAGTCATTGCTACAGATGTGAAATGAATAATATATGTTTTCAACATTAAGTAGATCCTTTCTCCTCTTAAGATACAAACTTCCATGTAATTGGTGTTGTATACATTTTTATTGCACTCAGGAATGTGACCTAGAAATGAATACAAGATAAATTTTTGTTTAATTCCCTATCATGGACTTTTGGGTCTTCTAATAATATTAAAAAGCTACACTATTGGGTTATCAAAAATGTTGTATATGTCTTAACCTGAAGATAAAAGAATGTACAGGTATGAAAAGAAATGGAAAGTTAATTTTGTGTATAGTGTGAAGACACTTTTCAGAGTTCTACATAAATCTATTGTCCAGTGCCCTTTGGAAATGCTCCCCAATAAACTCATATTTTCTGTATTCTTAGGAATTTTAATGGGATATATACATACAATGAAAATTTAATCATTTTGCAGTAGGACATGGGTTGTGATGCTGTGATTTGCATGCACATGTGGCTATGTCAAAACTTATAAATGTTTTCTCAATTTTTTATTTTCCAACCAAGGCCGCTCTCTTCACCATTGGAGATAAATAGAAATACATTCAACACGTGAGTGCATCCCATATTGAATCATCTTGGAAGAAGAGTAAATAGGTAGATTACACTATTTTAATTGGCACACATTAGGAGGATGACTTTTATGGGTAAAATGAGTAAATCATCATGCAAAGTGGATGATATTTAGACCTGATAATATCATAATTTACTATAGTATCAGTATTTTATAGTGTAAAATACAAAAGCAGTTTTAGGATTCATTAGAGCATTGCCCATGTTCTTGCATCACTAATATTTTCTGTATTGTAAACCTTTTATATTTTAATAAATTTGGTGTGATTTTACCTAAAAATGAACCTGAAATTTCCTCTGTAGCTGAAGTAAGAACATGGACATCTCTGCACCAGGCCTGACTCACATGGGAAGCACTTTACTGTCTGAGCAGTTGGGGAGTGAAACTAGGGTTCTGGGTAAATCTGGCTATACTTCAGAATATAAGTGCCATTGCATAGGCACAGGAAGTCCATGTTTTAATAACAGATTTCACTTAGATTTTGTGGGGATGATATCCCCAAATTGCTTTGTGGCATAAAATTTCAACTGTATTTATTGATATTTCCTTATTTTTCACATCACTGAACATTCAACTAGTCGTGAGCAGAAATATTCTGTGACAATATGGATTGAACTAAGATGTATTAAAAACCAGAATAGACTAAGAGAAATAAGTAATGCATATATTAATTGGTTTTAAAAAATCTAAATAAGTTTTTACCAAAAACTTATCCCCTTCCCCTGTCCAATGGAGAATATTTTTAGTAAAAAATGAGAAACCTATAGGAACACTGGGACAAGATACTATTACTCTGAGTAGGAATCAAACATTTTTATTTAGAGAGTAGTACTTCACACTGTCAGATACATTCCAAGAAAATGAAATTTCCCCATGTTATTGCAATGAAAGAAGTTAAATTGTTTAAAGTTGTCATTTTATTTGATTGACAGATTTCCAATTAAGTCTTCTACAAAATGACCATTTTGTCTTAAAAGTGTTTGCTTTTTTTCTGCAACTGCTGGCCAGCATTTTACAAGTTGGACTGCATCTTTTAGGTTATTGTGCTCAATATGGCTCTCATAAGAGGTAGCGCATGAGCTAAGAACAAAACACTATTTACATTATGGAATTTGTCACAAGTGAGTAATTATTAATACTGTCACAATAAGCTTGAGAAAGTAACTAATATTTGTACTTACTTGACTCAAAATGAAAAGAAGTTCTATATGTATGTTGGTACCAATGTTAACAACATTTTTTATTTTCCTCCAAAAGATGTTTAAGAAATAAACACAGGCAAAATGCAACATCTCTACCAGAATTCTACTTCCTTCAACTCTCAGAGGATCCATACCTAAAGCCTTTTCTCTTGGGCCTATTTTTGTCCATGTATATCTTGGCCTTGTTTGGAAACCTGCTCATCATCCTGACAGTAAGCTCTGACTCTCAACTCCATACACCCATGTACTTCTTCCTCTCCACTCTGTCCATGGTTGATATTGGTTTCATCTCCACCACTGTTCCAAGGGTGATTGTGGACATACAGACTCACTGTCTAGTCATATCCTATGTGGGATGCCTGACACAGATGTCACTGTTTGTAATTTTTGCATGTATGGATGACATGCTTCTGGCTGTGATGGCATATGACAGGTTTGTGGCCATCTGCCATCCTCTGTATTACCAGGTAATTATGAATCCCAGTCGCTGTGGTCTCTTACTTCTAGGGTCTTTTCTCCTTAGTCTTGTAGACTCACTGATGCACTATATGGCAATATTAAATATTCTCAATGGTGAGGATTTCATTGAAATTTCCAACTTCTTCTGTGACCCTTCTGAACTACTTAAACTTGCCTGTTTTGATACTGTCACCAACAACATATTCAGATCCTGCGTAGGTGCTCTCTTTGGGTTTCTTCCTATTTTGGGAATCATTTTCTCTTACTTTAAAATAGTTTCCTCCATCATGCGATCATCATCATCAAGTGGGAAATACAAAACCTTCTCTACCTGTGGGTCTCATCTGTCCATTGTTTGCCTGTTTTATGGAACAGGATTAGGAGTGTACTTCAGCTCCTCAATCTCAAATTCCCCAAGAAGTAATGCATTGGCTTCAGTGATGTACACTGTGGTCACACCTATGTTGAATCCTTTCATCTATACCCTTAGGAACAAGGACATTAAAACTGCCTTAAGGAAGATTCTTAGTAGAATATTCTAATCATTGACATTCTTTATAAATTCACCATATATATTTTGTGTATATATGTATATATCAATTTGTATCTATATATGCATATATTATGTAAATCCCAGTTAATGTGTCATACATTGTCCCTAAATGATAACTTATAATATTGCAGGATAAATGATAGTCACTGAGGTAACACATATGTGTGGTTTGTAAAAGTGCCCCAAAATTTGAAATTGTAGAGGTGAAACTTTCTAAGGATGATTGGTGCACATGGCTGGGCAACCCCTTACAATATGAGTGTAATCAATACCTAAGAACTATGCGAAGGAGCCAATTCAAATTATCATTCTGCTGAAATTGTGTTTTAGAAATGACCTAGAACCAGGTTTGACAACCAGGGTGCTTGAACAGGAACTGAACAAGGAAGATGTGAATAGACATTGTATTGTGGAAGAAGAAAGGTCAATTGGCCTCATCCGTAGAAAAAGAATTAGTTTTTACAGCAGGAGGCATATCTGCAGTTAAAGAAATAGGGAATGAATATGAAAGAGAGCAAGGGTGGGTACGTGGGACATAGGTAAGGAGGGAGGTGAAAGCCATTAGATTTTCTTATAAGGTCATTTTTAGAATAATTAAACGAATCACTTAAATTGATAACAATGCCCACAGAATAATGACACTTATCATTCCCAAATAATATTTGGGGTACCTGTTACTGGGTTTACTTATGATATGCATTATACATGTTACTTGATTATTTTTTCAAATTCAGATCTGGTGTGAGTTGTCAGTATAGTGAGCCTTTTATTTGAAGTGAGAGAATTAAAAGTGATGAAAAAAGATGGACATGAATTAAAATTCACTAATGAAGCATGAATTGAATGGAGCTCAAAATGCTCTTGTCCTTTTCAGTTTTTGAAGTCCTCCCCAATTTTCAAGGTTGTTCTCACAATGTCCATGACGCTGCAACAACAAGGCACTGTATAATGCAGAACAAATGGAGAAGAATATGACATTGATTTCATGTGACTTATTTGAGGGGGATTGATGGAGTTGTATATATAAATATAAACTACAAATTCAATATTATTTCTTTTTTTAGGCTGGACAACCTATGATGTTTATTAAATGGTGATACCCTCTTTGACAGAAATAAATTAATAAAAACTAACCTGTCTTTGATGTATTCACACCCCATTCCTCCAACTAAATCTTCCATGATCCACCTCTCCCAACTTCATATCTGCTTTTTTGTAAGAAAATTTAGATTAAAGCTTATTTCATATATCAATCACAGCTCCCTCTCCCTCCCCTCCTCCCCTGCTGCCACCAGGGTGAGGCCCTCTATGGCAGATCTCCAAAGTCTGTCATATTATCCTGGGAAGAATGTAGGCCCTCCCCATGTGTTCAGGCTGAGAAAGCTTCTCTCCTTTATGGGCTCCCCAAGCCTATTTGTATGCTAGGGATAATACTGATCTACTACTGGAGGCTCCATAGATTGCCTAGGTCTCCTCCCTGATACCCATGTTCAGGAGGTCTGGATCAGTCCCATGCTAAATTCTCATTCATTAGTCTAGGGTCTATGAGCTGCCCCTTGTTCATGTCATCTGTATCTGTGGGTTCATTAGCCTGGTCTTGACCCCTGTGCTCATCACTCCTCCCTCTCTATCACTGGGTTCCAGGAGTTCAGTTCAGTGTTTAGCTGTGGGTGTCTGCCTCTGCTTCCATCAGCCACTGGATGAAAGCTCTAGGATGGCATATGAGGTAGTTGTCAATGTCATTATTGGGGGAGAGCATTTAAGGTAGTCTCTTCACTATTTCTTAGTTTGTCAGTTTGTGTCATTCCTGCAGATCTCTGGAAATCTCACTAGTGCCAGATCTCTCCTCAATTCTATACTGGCTCGCTTTATTATGTTATATCTCAGCCTGCTCTCCTCTATTCTTCCCGACTCAACCTTCCTGCTCACCCATGTCCTCCTTTCCCCTCCTCTTATCCCCCTCTCTTTTTACCTGCTCCCTCTGCCCTCCCCACATGTTCCAAATCCCTTTAGGAGATCCTGTCCCATTCCCTTTCTCCAGGGTACCATGCATATCTCTCTTAGGGTCCTTCCTCTTTCCCATACTCTCTGGCATTGTTATTGTAGCCAGGGAATTCCTTGTAACATGTCTAAAATCTATATATGAGCAAGTACATACCATGTTTGTCTTTTTGTGACTGGGTTACCACACTCAGGATGGTTTTATTTGCCTGGTGATTTCAAGATTATTTTTTGTGAATGACATTTTATGATGGAGATGATGTGGAGAAAGGGGAATACTATTCCACTGTATGTGGGAGTGCCAACTTGTACAGTCACTTTGGAAATCAGTATAGAGATACCTCAGGAAAAAGGGAATCAGTGTACCACATGGTCCAGCAATTCCACTCATAGGTATATCCCCAAAAGTTGAATATTCATACAACAAGGACATCTTTTAAGGTATGTTCATGGCAGCATTATTTATAATAGCCAGATCCTGGAAGCAACCTAGATGCCCCTCAAATATAGAGTGGATAGAGAAAATGTGGTACATTTACACAATGGAGTACTACTCAAAAATTTTCTTAGTCATTCAATATTTTATGTTTCTGGAAGATACGTCTTTAAATAATGACCCATTTGTGTTTACTGGTTTCATTTCCTATGTAAATTTTCATAAATACTACACTAAGTATCACATTTCTTTTATCAATTATCAATTTTGAATTGTATAATTTAAAGAAACTTTAATAACATATGCACAACTTAAGATAATATTGGTTTAAAAATGCAAGGCTTTCCAGTGGGATAATGGGACACAGTGACAGTGTTATCATGGACTATTAATTTCAATTCAACATTTAGACAATAATGTCCCTGGATATCTTATGTGGATTAATTTTTCTAAAAAGAGGGAAAGTATGTAATTTTCTCACAACATGTAGGGTAAACTTCAGTTCTTCCTACTTTTCTTTGACTAAAAACAGGTTTTAGTCAAACATAAATGGGGAAGAAGTTTTCTGAGTGTGTTTTCATATTTATGTTACTTATGCAAGGACTTTTTCTTTTTCTGGAACATAAAAGATATTTAATAGATGTAGTTTTTTTCTATTGGAACATATTTAATTATTTCTTGTTTTACTTCTTAATTTTAAAATTTTAATTAGAAACAATCTTGTTTTACATGTTAATCCCAGTTCCCTCTGCCTCCCTTCCTCCCCTGCCCCCCTTGGTCCTCTATTCCATCCCCTTTCTGCTCTCCAGGGAGGATGAGGCCTTCCATGGGGGATCTTAAAATCTGTCACATCATTTCAAGCAGGGCATATGACCTCCCCCGTTGTGTCTAGGCTGACAGACATTCCCTTTATGTAGAATTGGCTCCATAAGTCCTTTTGTGCAATAAGGATAAATACTGTTTCACTACCAAAGACCCCATAGACTGTCCAGGCCTCCTAACTGAAATCCATGTTCAGATGGTCTGGGTTGGTACTATGCATGTTTCCCAAATATCAGTTTGGTATCGAATCAGTTCCCCATTGTTCAGGGCAGCTGTTTCTGTGTATTTTTCCAGCCTGGTCTTCACCCCTTTGCTCACCATTCTTCCTTCTCTGCAACTGGGTTCCAGGATTTTGCTTCATTTATTAGCTATGGATGTCTGCTTCTCCATCAGCTACTAGATGAAGGCTCTAGTATGGCATATAAGATAATCATCAATCTCATTATAGGAATAGGCCTTTTAAGATAGTCTCTTCACAAAAACCAGGCTGTGCATCCACGCTTGCATTCCAGTACCTGGGGATTTCCTGGAGACTCCCACAGAGTTTCCCATCACAGCAGAAGTCTAGCACCTCAGATCCCAGGTCTTCTCTTCCACCAACTTGACCAGGGGACTAGGAAGAAGAGTAAGCATCTCAGATTCCTGGACTACTTCTACATCCATAGAATCAGAACTAGGATGAGGAATAGAAGAACTGCCAGAGTATTGGACTTGCTTGCAGCCACCGAAAGGGAACTCTGATCCCCTAACTAGCAGACCAGTAAGGAGCTATTTCTGCACCCACAAGAGGAAGAGATGGGATAGAGACAAAACAAAAATACACTCAGCAACAGAAAAACAAATATGACATCACCAGATTCTAGAGACTCCACACCAGCAAGACTCCAACATTCCAAGGCAAATGAAGCAGAAGAGAAGGACCTTAAAAACAACTTCATGAAAATGATAGAGGCCCTAAAAGAGGATATAGGATAATCACTCAAAGAAATGGAAGACAAAACAAACCAAAATATGCGAGAAATGGAAGAAAAACCAAATAAAAAATGCAAGAAATGGAAGGAAAAACAAACCAAAATATGTAAGAAATAGAAGAAAAACAAACCAATAAATGCAAGTAATGGAAGAAAAAACAAACAAAAAATTCATAAAATTCAACAAATGAAAGAAAAGATAAACTGAAAATTGCAAGGAACAATTCACACATTACAAGGGTTGAAAGCTGAAGTAGAGACAATTAAAAAAACACTGTCTGAAAAAAGGCTGGAAATAAAAAAGCTGGACAGACAGTCAGGTACTACAGATGCAAGCATTACCAACAGAATACAAGAGATGGAAGAGAGAATCTCAGGTGTTGAAGATACACTGAGAGAAATGCATTTATTAACTAAAGAAAACCTTAAGACCAACAAATCACTATCAAAAACATCCAGGAAATACGGGACACCATGAAAAGACCAAACCTAAGAATAATAGGTATAGAAGAAGGTGAAGAACCTACCTCAAATGGGCAGAAAACATATTAAACAAAATCATTGAAGAAAACATCCAAAAAAGAAAGACATGCAAAGGAAGTTACAGGAAGCTTACAGAACACCAAATAGAGTAGAACAAAAAAAAGTCCCTTCACCACCTAATAATCAAGACCCCAAATATACAGAATAAAGAAAGAATATTAAGAGCAGCTAAGGAAAAAGGTCAAATAGAATATAAAGGCAAGCCTATCAGAATTA